TCCTCAGGGATATCAGTCTTATGACCATTGCTATTCGTAGCGTACTTAAGTGATCTTTAATCAAGGGCTCTACTCCAACGTTTCATTTGATGATGACGGAAACTTATTTATACAAAGCTGAATTACAAATGGACCTTAACAACATCAAAAGGGGGACACAAAAGTGGAAAATGCGTTGAATGATTCCAAATGCAGTATCTAAATAAACGAAAATAACATCAGTAACAAAACAAAAAGATTTAGCAGTCACATATGACCTAAAATGGGAAATATCACACAAGTGACCAAAAAGGCCAATTCAAACAATCAAAAGAAATGATATTGAAACTTCATAAATCAAATGTAAAACCAAAAATATAACTGTCTGGAATCCATACTATGTCAAAGACATAGAGCAGATAGAACGAGTGGAAAGGCAAATAACCAGATCTGTCCTATGAGGACAGGCTTACAAGATTAGACCTCACAACTTTAAGAGATAGGAGAACAAGAAAATATTTAAACATTTAAAATACTCAACAGTTACTATGCTTGTAATCTAAGAAACATTTACCACTTTAGTCACAATACAAATTTTAGAGAATATAGGAAAAATGTAATAAATTCTTGGAGAGAAATTTTCATATTAATAAAGCAATTAAACGATAAAAAAACAATAATATATGAAAATGCAAAAATTCACCTATTTTCAATGTATTCATAAGGGTAATTTGTGAATTTTTATGGGGACTTCCAAAGAATTTAATATCTTTGTTTACGGATCTATAAACAATACGTTTCCAGAACATTGAAACAGATTGTTTACTACGTAAAAATGAAAACTTACAACTAATTTTCTAAAATCTGATAGGAGATGGCCAGCTTTGATTTCACCACGTCTACTATCCCTCTAAATACTACTGAGTATTTTGATGAAGAAAAATGTTGTTAATTCTCTGTGTATGTTTGTCATCTTTGGGGCAAAATGGCGATGCTTTCATCCAACTTCAATAGAATATAGTCTCCAAATTTCGACTTTGTCCTTTGACCGTTTTAATGTTATGGGACAGGGCACTCTGCTTTACCATCAATTTGTTTCCCATCTTTCTTAATAAAAGAGACAATCATTGAGTTTGGTCCATCTAAAACAACAACAAAATAACTTGTTTTTTATTTTTACTATTCTAAACAATTTAAAGAAATAAAATAAAATTGATTTAAAAACAACATCTTTAGTTTTTTTTTATTCATGAATAAATTTATTATAAAAATGTATTCTATGAACACAGAAGAAACTAAAATTTATCTTAATCAGAAGTTTGTATTTGAAAACCTCGGGGGAAAATAGTAACAGAAATAAAATTTAACATTTTTTTTTTAATGGCTAAAGAACGTAACAAGCCACAGTGAATATATTGTAACATTTCGGCAAGAGATGGCGCTACAGAACTCTAATGACGTTTTTCCATCCAAAGTATATGCTTTTAAATTTTAACAAAAAACGAAACAAACCACACATTTTCAAGATGGCGACTGGCAGCGAACAAGCGAAAGTTTATGATGAAAACAGTGATCAAAATGATATTTCAAGTGAAACGGATGATAGTGTAAAGGATAAAAACTATTTTAATTCGAGTTGTACCAGTAAGGCTAGCAGGGTTTCCACTTCAGAGGTAAATAAAATATAACGTGCCTTGTTTCTTTTTTAACCAAAATATTTTAAGGGAAAGATGTTATATAATCCGCAGAAATGTCACATTTTTGAATAAAAAAAAAATTGTTCATATCAAAGAGAATCCTCCCACTCCCAACAAACACCTAATCGTAATTACTAACAACTGCGGTGGCCAAAATAAAAATTGGACCATTATAGCATTACTTAGTAACAGATAAGGTGTATAAATCAATCTACTGAACATCATTTCCTTGTCTTTGGGCATACGCATTTTCCATGCGATCAGGACTTTGTTTCAATTTAAAAATTCAAAAAATACGTAGGACATGTATATTCTCCTGAATGTTGGGTAAAAGCTGTTAAAGAATAGAGACTTCAAAATCCATTTACGGTAGGGGAAGGGAAGACACATTTAGACAGGGGCAAATGTAGACATTTCAAATTTCCCGCTCTCTATCCGAAAAGAATGACTTAATATTGTTAGAACAGTTGTTCAAGAACACATTCTACATTCGAGTAAATGGTGAACGCAACACCGCTAGCCTTACCGCGTTGATGAATGAATATTAAGTTTTACAAAACAAATTATCATTCTTCAGCAACATGGGTTCTGCCAAGGAAGATCAACACCTACTAATTTGCTTCTTTTTGTACAGGACATATTAGAGACCTTATAAACTAAACATCAAGTTGTTGGAGTATGTACTGATTTTTCCAAGGCATTCGACAGTGTCAATCAAGTAATTCTATGTAATAAACTATGAGCCGTTGGAATCCATGGAAAATTGTTTGAATGGTTGTCATCATATTTAACAAATAGGTCGCAAGTAGTAAAAATAAATGTATGTCTAAACAAATTCAAGCTTCCCCAAGGAAGCCATTTAGGTCCTTTGTTATTTAATATATGTATCAATGATATTGCCAAAGTATTTGTTAATTGTAAATTTTTACTATTTGCAGACGACCTTAGACTCTACTCTGCTGTTAACAATCTCCAAGATTTTCTTAAAGTTCAAAATGATCTCGATAAATTACATGATTGGTGTCAGGTCAATCAATTATCTCTTAATATCAACAAGCGTAAATACCTGGTGTTTTCCCTACTTGAAACAACTTAAGCTTTATATCGACATTTAAATATTGAGGAAATTCCTTTAGAAAAAGTATATGGGATCTTGGGGTGATCGTTGACAGTAGGATGGACTTTAGAAAGCATTATGAATATATTCAAAATAGAGGATTTAAAAAAATTAATGAGAAAAATTTAATTGACATTAATGTTCCTGTAAGAAAATTTCACTCAAAATGTGTTTCCCAGCAGGTGTTTACAAAAGATGAGGAAGAAACACTAGAAAATAACTTTGCCCGTTCATCAAAGTTACAGTTTGGATTAACATATTAATCAAGTTCGACAGTTTGCATATGAATATGCTGTAAGGCTTGAAAATCGACTACCAAATGTTTGGTATGAGAATAATATGGCTGGTATCGAGTGGTTGAAAGGCTTTATGAAGCAGCATACGAACGTATCTTTACGTAATCCTGAAAATACAAGTTTGGCCAGAAACGAAAATTTTAATCAAATAAACATTCAATTGTTTTTCACCAATCTTGAAACTGTATATAAAAAATAACAGTTATCCCACGATAGAATAGTAAACGTTGATGATAGTGTTATGTTATATCAAATACCATTAAACAAGCGGTGACAGTTGTAAATAAAACTTTGGAAAATTATATGAGTGGGCATGGGCAATTTTTTTAAAAATTAATGTTAATAAAACTAAATATATATTTATTGGAAATGATAGGGGATATAATAAGTTTCATGTAATTAAAATTAGAACCTAAGAATTGCAACACGTTGAAGGGTTTAAATATTTGGGTGTAAAAATTGATAGAAAATTAAAATTTAAATCTCATGCTAATTATATTATAAAAACAATATCTTTTAAAATAAATTATCTAAACAGACGTAGTAAGCATCTGACGCACTGGACCAAAAACATAATTTACAACACTTTAATTTTGCCCCATTTTACTTATTGTGCTACAATACTCTACCTATTAGGACAAACTGAAAAAAGTAGATTGCAAAAACCACAGAATCGAGCAATGCGTATGATACTGTCCCGCTCTAGGTTGACCCCAATAAAAGATATGTTATCTCAGTTAAAGTGGCTTATCAGTGACAGGTTTCATAAGGTATCAAACCCTAATTTTTATATTTAAAGTTAAAAACGGCTGTGTGCGTATCTGATGGATAAAATTGTATTTAACCATGAGATACATCAGTACAATACTCGTAACAGACAAAAGTTTTTTATACCTCCGGTGGCAAAAAGAAGCTCTCAAAACTCTATATTTTTTAAAGGATTACAGGAATTCAATAGCGTCCCAGACTCTATAAAAAACTTAACATCTATAAACAACTTAACATCAATATTTACTTGTAAAAGCAAGGTTAAGCATTATTTGTTGGATAGGTAAAACCATAGAAAAATAAAAAGAGAAGGTTTGAATAAATGGCGGGACTTGTTTCCTTGTTGGTAGTTGAATCGTAAGCGCTTAGCGCGCTGGTATCACTAAATTTAAACCCGTTTTACACCCATAAAAAATATGTTATCAAAAATAATGACAAAAAAATCAATAACTTTACTGATTTACGGCCGTTTTCATAATAAACATGATAAAGTCACTTTAACTAAAGTAACTTTAAAATTTAAAGTGCCTTTTAAAGTGTGTTTCATAATCTCAAAACAGAGTTACTTTTACAAAAGTGTTATATAACTAAGTGCCAGTTTTTCAATCACAGTTAAAAATTTCGTTCACCTGAACTTATATCAAATATAGAACTAAGATCAATATGAATAGCGTTTTTCAATCATAGTTCAGGTGATCTTAATTAAATTTATATTGGTAGTTCTGAATCGGGGTATTTCTGACAAAACTGAATGCTCTATGTCAGTTTGACGTTTTTAAAAATACATTCATGAAATTAAGACGAAAAATTGAAATGGAAAAAAATATAGAGAAAAATAAACAGGCCGCCAATTTTTCGAACAGCGAAAAAGAATTATTGGTAAATATTATAATCTACAAATTATTGTTTAAATAAACTATCAAAACATAATTTTAATAGGTATCGCTGGTGCCCAAAAGGAAAAATATTTTAGAATGTAAAAAAACGGAAGTCAATACATCAAGAGAAAAAAATTAGAATGGCTACAGCTGCGTCAGGAGTTTAATGCAAATAATATTACTCCCAGGGATGTAATACCTTGAGGAGAAAATATGATAATTTGAAAAAAAGAACGGCGTTGTAAAATCATAAACATTAATTCAGTGGATCAATCATTAAAAGAAATTTTAGGCAATCGTATTACGGGAATGGAATCAGAATTCGATGACGATAGTATACTTAAGGCGGTTGAAAATAATGAAATTAACGAAGACGATATTATAGAAAATCAAGAAGAAGCAGGTTCTTCAAAAATAGAGGTGCTACAAAAATTAAACTTGGCAACGTATAATCCAATTATGTTAAAAAACCTAGATCTTTTCCATTTCTTCCGTTAGATATACAAGAAAAAAATAAACGAAGCATCAAGTAATAAGACAGGATCAAGTAAACACCTTGAAGAGATTGATAAAATAGACCAAGTAGTATTTACAAAAAAAATAAAACGGCTAAAGCACATAAATCCACACCCAGAAATAATATCAATAGCATCTGGACAGAGGTGGGTAGTGCAAAATTAGAATCAATCAAATTGCAAATGAGCCAGCTACTAGAAGAGTCAAAAACAAAAATTGAAAAAAATTGAAAAAGTCCGTTGAAAACTCGAGGACGAAAAAAAATTATGAATCCTATACTTTTCTTATCTGTATACAGGAATGTAAAAATAATAATAGAAACAGTAATTGTATTTATTTTATTTATCTTAACATTACATTAACTGTTGAAAATAATGAATAAATAAATTTTTTGTTGAAAAATGGTTATTTTGTTGGTTTTGTTCAGCATAATGAGGTTCAACATCAATTAATTGTTGTTCAATTAACTCTTCATGTTCCTGATCCATTGGTGGGCCGCGTTCTCTCACTTTACAGGCAGCATTATGTAAAACTGCTGTTGCTACTATAACAGCTTCTATCTTTTCTAGTTTTAGTCGAATACCCAGTGCTGGTATCGAAAATCTTCGTTTCCATACAACATAACTTCTTTCAACTGGATTTCTCGTTCTGTTTATTGATTCATTATATAGCTGCTCAGCCGGAGTTGCTGGATTCGCAAGTGGAGTTAATAAATATGTTTTAATAGGATATCCACGATCCACTAAAAGCAAATTGTCTCCTTTTAAATTTCATCATTATGTTAGAATTCCTAAATATGTTTGAATCATGTTGTGATCCTTCCCATCCTTAAATCTGGTCCGGAAACAGTTTGAACATTTAGTAAAAAGTATTGCTTCCTGTTTCTGAAAATTTCAGCTTGATCCCCACCAGAACTTTGAATTTTTACGTGGGTGCAATCTAAAGCTCCAATACAACGAGGGAATCTTGCAATATAAAAAAAAAACATGGCGCACCCTTATAATTTCCTCCTGCGTTTGTGTCATTTTAACATATTGAGGACATAATGCAGCAGCTATTGCTCCAGATACCTTTTTAATAATTTTGCTTGTCGTACTCTTATGCACTCCACAGAAGTCTCCGGTGATAATTAAGAAAAATCGCATAGCCAACAGAACCATGACTTCAGAAGTTAGTGCATTATTTCTAGAATAATAAAATAGGATCACAAAATGCTATAAAAATGTAATTTTCCTATTACCTATTAGTCGGATTTGCAATTCGTCCTTTTATTTCAATAATTATTCTGTTAACCGTTTCCTTAGACATACGAAATCTTGCAATAAATCATGTTCATCCTAATTTAAAAAATAATTAGATCTCACTCGAATCATGCGTATTCTCCTGGGTATATTATTATGCATTAAATAGGCTGCAATTTCCCCGTCTTCATTTATTACTTCCAAGTCATTCATGAGCACGATTTATTTTATAAAATATACAAAAACTATATTGTTTAATATACTTATGTGTCAGTCAAAACGTTGAACTTGTTTAAACGCCCAACTTTGACGGTTCAATTTTTCGGGTAGTTTAAAGTAAGTTCAGATGTGAACTACATTTGAAATACACCAATATTCAATTGAAATCAGTTTAAACTTTGATTGAAAAACTGGCCCTTAGTTGGCAACACTATTTTTTATAATTTTGGTGTTCTGTGACTTCAGAGTCTTAAATAAACGACTTAAACGAGGTTATGATATATTTTTGTTGAGCACGTCGAACATTGTGAATATTTTTTTACTCCGCTGAATTACTTTTGTTTAAGAAAATGTCTAATAAAAATGTTATATCGTTCCACCCATACAATGAGGCTTCTACAAGCAAAGGCAAGAGAATTCGTGTGACAAATTTTTCAAAAGAAGAAGAATTAGCTTTACTAAGCATTATATCTCGCCATAAAAATATAATTGAGAACAAAACGACTAGTTCAGTGTTTAGTCCGGCGGGAGCGCACTAATAAGTCGTCTAGTTTAAGAGCAAATAAATATCAGAGTGTAACTAAATGGGACCTTAATATCATCATTCAGTATACATTTCTACATAAGAAATCAAGAATGACGACATTTTTCATTGGTCGAGATAAAATTTACGTAGAAAAAATGAAGAAAATTGAGCTTTTCAATGTTTTTTCTTTGTTGTCCTGCGATTCGATTTCTAAGAAAGATATATTCACCGTTTTAGAATCATCTGAATGCTCTTATTTTTATCTAAACAATAGCAGTTAAAAACTTTTTTTTTTGGAAAATAAAATGAGAAAAAAAATAAAAACTTTTTAGTTCAATCATTTTGCGAATTTTCCAATTTGTTTACACCCCTCCATCTCTCTTTTTTGTATAATCAACCGCTACTTTTTTTTACACCAAAAACTGCGGAATTTCTTCGTCTTTATTTTTGTTCGATTATGTATATGTCTACATAAAGTATTTTTGATGATACATCATTTAGAGAGATGCGCGCTCTATAAGTATCAACAGAGTAAAGTATTCCCCGCAAACCCGCCTGCTTCATCAACTGTTTGTTTATTGTGCAAGTCAAGTACATAGGATAGCAAGTGTTATGCATCGTGTTCTGATTTATGCGTTATTTTTCTATACGGCTTAATAAATAATCGATAATAAATAAAAAAAAACTATAGACTATAGTGATTGTGATAAGTTAGTAAAAGTGAAATACAAGTTTTTAATTGGTGTAAGTATTTTTAAAAAATAAGGAAAAAGTAAACTGAGTAAATTTTGTTTTTAGAATATAGGAAGGTTCCTAAACTGAACAATATGAATAATTGGTGTCTAATCTGTCGAAATAACTTTGACGAATCGAGTGAATTATACGTAAAAAAACCTAGACTTAGTGGTATAAGTTCAATTTTAAATGCTGCACATGAACGAAATGATCAAATTAGCGCTAAAATTCTACTTTTAGAATCTGAAATATTACAAAGCACAGGAACATTTAGTTATCATTATTCATGCAGAAAAACATTTTGCAGTCAAAATAATATTAAAAATAAAAAACTGTTAACCCCTTCGTCAAGCACAAGTAATATTTCTTATAGTAACAGAAATACTGACATTTTATTTAATATTAAAAGGGACTGCTTAATATGCGGAAAAAGTGGAACGGTAAAAAAATTAGGACTAACAAAAATTTGTACTGGAACAGGTAAAACTACTAGAAATAAAATTTTACAAGCTGCAAAGGATCGTCAGGATACTTTAATACGAGGCAGAATTGAATTTTATACAGATTTATTTGCAGCCGATGCTAAGTATCATAAAATATGTTATATAAAATATATAAATAAAAGACATATAAGTGCCATAAAACGCAAACACCACACTAAACAAATTAATATTGAAGAAGAAACCTTCCAGACGCTATGTTCTGAAATTGATGATCTTATAATTGTTAATAAAAACTCTGTAACACTAGAAAATCTAACTAATCGTTATAATGAAATCCGAAGAGGAAAAAACCTCGAAAATATTACAACAGAAAACCTACGTAAAAAACTAGAATTTCATTTTAAAAATAAAATACTTTTCAAATCTGAATTAGGAAAGGAGACAATTGTTTATTCAAAAGATAATAAAATTATTGATTTTATTCCTATATCAGGAAATGCCAACCTGGATTCTTCTAGTAGTAATAGTGAAATTGATGATATACAAATTGACGAAAGTGAACTTTCAGTACTTCATAAAGCAGCGGCAATATTAAGAAAAAAAATCAATCATCACATAAATCAGCCATCTTCATCCAAACAAACGTATTTAGGCCCTGACGCGATAAATGAACAGAAATGTCAAAAAGAAATACCGAATGAATTATTTCAATTCATTACATGGATTTTATATGAGAAAGAGCTAAGAAATGTTTCAGATGAGAATTCATTCAATCTTAAAGTTATGTCCATTTGTTCTAATATTTTAAATAGTTTTGACAAAAATAAAAATTATACTAGTTTCGGATTCAGTTTTTCCCTTTATATGTATCAGACTGTAAGAAGCAAAAAATTAATAAATCTTTTACATCAGTTTGGTTATGGGTGTTCCTATGATGAAATACGAACATTTTTAACATCCCTCGCTGTTGAGCACTTAAATGAGGAAAATTTTATACCACCAGGAATTGAGCCAGTTGAAAACCAAAACTTTATTCACGCTAGCATTGACAATTTTGATTTAAATGAGGAGACTATTGATGGAAAATGTACTACACATGCATTAGCAATGGTTCTTTTTCAAAAAAAATCTGAAGTTCCGAGAGGTTCATCCGTTGAAAGAACAAAAAAACGTTCTTTAGGAGAAACAGATCTCAGCAATAAAATCCTCATTTACAGAAAACCATCAACCCGACCAGAGCCACCTCGATCAGATAAAAATTCAGTTTGCGCAATTAATGACAATTTTGTCAAAAAATCGTTTTCCATCGACAATTTATGGCAGCTTTTACAGTGTGTTAAAAAAAGGGAAACGGTAACAACGTGGAATGAATTTAATAATATATTATCTGAAAATAATTTATATGTATCGAATACATATTATCTACCATTTTTAAATGCCCCTCCCACTGATTTTGATACAATCTTCACAGGTCTTGTTAAATTGGTAAAGATAGCAGAAACGCTAAATCAAAATCATATTGTAGTGACAGCAGACCTTTCAATTTATAGTAAAGCACAAGAAATTCTTTGGAATAAACCTGTACAATTACATGATAAAGTTACTATGCAACTAGGCGGTATGCATTTGACAATGGCGTTTATCGCAAGTATTGGCTGTATTTTTGCTGATGGGGGCCTTTCTAGCATTTTAGTAGAATCTGAAGTTTATGCTGAAATGTCTTGTACCCAACTTCTTCAAGGCAAACAATATGATCGAGGAATAAGAGCTCTCATTTTAGTAGCAGACACTTTAAGTCGATTGTTTTACAAATCAATGATGGAGTGGCTAAAAGAAACTAATTACGAATCAGTATTTAGCGAACACTTTGTTAATCTTCTCAATGAATTAGAAAATGTCATTTTAACTGATGCTTCTACTTTTGATAGAAAAATAGTTAAGACTATAATGGAATCTTCAGAAGAATTGGAAACCTGTATTAATTCTTTTAAAAAATATGGATGTGAAAATAATCCTACTTTCAAATACTGGTGTTTGTTTTTAGACTCAGTTGATATTCTAATGGCTTTAATCAGATCAGAACGCAATGCAGATTTTAATTTGCACTTAGAAACCGTCAAACAAGCATTACCATTTTTTAAAGCAGGAGGACGTCTTAACTATGCTAAGTACGTACCTGTATACCTGCTAGATATGCAGAAATTAAAAAGAGATCATAGAAACATGTACGAATATTTAAATATAGGAAATTTTGTAGTAAAAAGAACAAATAATAAACCATTTAATTGTGTTGCTTCTGATATGGCTTTAGAACAAACTATAAATAGAGATTGCAAGAGTTCTGGAGGGGTAATTGGATTTTCAAGACAGGAAGGTACTTTAAATCGATGGCTAATTACAAGACATTTAGTCGGAGAATATGCCAATAAATTAGAACTATTGGTATATAATCAAACACAATTTAAATATGGTCATTCACAAAGAGTACGAGATGAAAACGATGTAATGAAAATGAAAAATTTGATTGAAAATTCATGGGTGAACCCGTTTGATATAACCGAAACATCAAATGATCTAGTGAATATTGCGACTGGAAAAATAGCATCAACGGATGTTAAGGATTCCCTTATGTCTTTTAAGTGGGAAGCCCACTTGAAAATGAAAACATTTATAAAGGACCGCTTAACCGAAAATGAAACAGTCAGTTTTTGGAAAACAGTACCACGATTTTCTTTAAAAACTTTCAATAATGATAAAATTAACTACAAGAACTCCAGTAAAGGGAAAAATATAAATCCTGAATTTATGTTTAGAAGAATAATCAGTGCCGCTCAATTTCAAAATATGGATTTTATTGATATACTATCTCATGAATTAACTCCAGTCCCTCTTGCTTTATTCAATGATGATGGAACAATGAGAAAAACTCCCAAATCGGATCTAGCAAACAAACTGCATTCTTATTGCGAAGCATCATTACAGGTTCCTGAAAATTTCAGCTCTTATGTTTTAGACGGAATGGCAATTCTTCATTCTTTGAATGCGAAATCTTTCAAAACATTCGATAATTTAGCAGATGTGGTCCTAAATAGAATTTTACGCATTTTCCAGGAAAACCCTTCATGTATCAGTATTTCTTTAATATTTGACAGATATGATATTGAAAACTCCATAAAAAACATTGAAAGACAAAGACGAGGACAAACTACAATAGGAACATTTAGCATAGTCGGCAGTAGACAAGTCCCAAATATAAAACATTTTTAAAGTCGTGTGCAAATAAGAAGTCACTTATACAATATATTTCAAAATGTTTAACTGAAGCTTCTAAACAGTTTCCTGCAGGAAAAGAGCTCTATATTGCAGGAGGTTTTCAAAATGGAGAAGAATGTTTTAAAGTAAGTCATTAAAATCACCTGTATCCAATTTATGAGTTTTTAATATTCTTACAGATAAGCAACACAGATGTTATAAAAGAGGAAACTTTGAAATGTAATCATGAAGAGGCAGACACTCGTATTATTTTCCATTTGACAAATTCTCTTAATAAAAACCGTACAGTGGTTATAAAGTCGGATGATACCGATGTATTGGTTTTATTACTTTATTATTATTGGAACAATGAAATTATGAAAACTTGTGAAATTTTTATGGAAACTGGCCACATCGTGAACAACGTCAATAAAAAAAAATACATTCCCGTACATCAAATAGCAGAAAATTTAGGAAAGCCAGTTTCAGACAGTTTACCAGCTTTTCACTGTCTCACTGGTTGTGACACGACCAGTTCTTTTTATAAAATAGGAAAGAAATCAGGTTTTCAAATTTTGTTAAAATCATGTAATAACATTGACCTTCCAGCTTTTGGAAAATGTGAAATTGATGATAGTGTTTCCATAGCTAGGAAATTTGTTAGTAAACTTTATAAACAAGAACGATGTGACAACCTTAACGAGATAAGGAGAACATTGACACAAACCACAAAAAAGTCTGCACAAGAAATTCCGCCTACAGAGGATGCATTTTATTTTCACGTTTTAAGGTAGGTACACTTACTAAAAAATATTAAAAGTATGTATTATTTATTACTTTTTACAGATGTTATTATCAAACACATATATGGCTAAATAGTCACGTCGGAATTGTAAAATTATTTAATTTGATGGATTATGGATGGAAAAAAGATGATAATTATATTGTTCCGAAATTAATGTCATCTCCGGCAGTTCCAAGCAATATTAGGAAAATTATTTCACTAAATTGTAGTGAGAAGAAATGTGACACTAAAAAATGTGTATGTTTAGTGGAGGGAGTATTTTGTACAGAAGAGTGCAAATGTTGTTCGAATTGCTCAAATAAGCAAATAATTGGAGACATTGTAGAAGATTATGATTTTGTTTAGTTTTCTTGTCTGTTACATAATAACATTAAAAATAATAAAGGTGATGATAATAATAATAAAATGATAATAATATTAGTATTAATAATAAAAATTAAATAATAATTCATTAATTTTTACAAATATTTTTATGTTAATATAGAAGTTATAATTAATAAAATCTAATTACTTTTAAACCTTTAAACACACAAATAATGTGGCTTGCAAATAAACAAAACTGATTAAAAAACAAGCAATAGAACCTGGCCCGCATAGAGAAGATGCCAACAATACATGTAATGATTATGGAAGAAGGTACCTTTCTTCTCTAAGCGATGTTTCGATCTATTTCCGGCCGCTCGAGATAGATTTAAGTCGAATTCACCTGTTTAAAGGGTTGTAGTTTACAAATGACTTTACGTATAGCCCTATATAATCGAGCAAAAATGATGACGAATAAATTCCGCAGTTTTTGGCGTAAAAAAAAGTGGCAGTTGATTATGCAAAAAAAAGAGTTTGATAGGTAAAAAGTATTGGAAGATTCGCCAAATTTTTTAAATTAAAAGTTATTGTTATTTTTTTTTCCATAATTTATTAAAAAAAAAAATGTTTTTAACTGCTATTGTTTAGAGAAAAAAGAGAGCTTTTATATTATTCTAAAACGGTAATTATATCTTTCTTAGAAATCAAATCGCAGCGCAACAAAGTAAAAAAATTGAAAAGTTCAATTTTTTTCATTTTTTGTATGTAAATTTTATCTCGACCAATGAAAAATGTCGTCATTCTTGATTTCATATGTAAAAATGTATACTGAATAATGATATAAAGGTCGCATTTGGTTACACCTTTGAATTTTTTTTTAACGATTATTACACGCCGTCCGCCGGTCTAGTTACCTAGTCAAAAGGTAATCAAATAATAAGTAATAATTTGCAGTAGACTTACGATTTCAAATTTAATTTTAGGAAGAAGCTTGGCGTAAAATTGCCGATGCATTTAATAGCTGCAATCCCATGAGGTCCATAGCTCAAATGAAAAGGAAAAGTAAATATGACAATTTAAAAACAGCAGCTAGACGATTTTCGGGCAATGCAAACCGTAATTTATATGGCACAGGAGGTAGACCTCCTGTAGTTGTCAACCCAAACCCCGTATATGATGAAGTTTTGTCTATAAAAAACTGTGTCGGGGCTGGTAAAAGAATATAATGATGATTACTTAGATCAAGGGCAGAGTAATATAGAAATCATTGAGGAGACTTCTGAAGGTAAAATTCTTTGTATAACAAAAACAAAAGATATAGTTAGCTTATTTTTAGATTTGGAAAATGAAGTAGGAATTGAGAACGAAAGGACCGAAATTTATCAGGATCAAATTATTGTAGATGAGAATAAGATCCATGAAACGGAAGAGGCACAGAATAATACTTGAAAATTTTATACACCAAAGAACATCCAGCAGAAGAAACACCCAAAATTAAGTGTTTTAAATAAATCTGCACCAAAAGTGTTGAAAAAAAAAAGACATTATACGATTTAAAAAAAAAATATTTAGAAGAAAAAGTAAGATGCTTAGTAAATGAAGACAGACGAAAAGAAAAGAGGCATGAAAAAGACATGGAATTGTTGATTTAGAAATTGAGGAAAAGAAAAAATCTCTTAATTCAAATTAGTTATGTTTCTAAGGGTGTTCTAATACAAACAAAAATATTTAAAATTGCATATTATTTTATTCCAATTTATCAAAATTTTGTCTAATAAAAAGTTGGCGATGATTAACAGCTCTAATACGTGGCATGTCTGGTTCCATAACTGCATTAAAGCCGCTTTACATTATGAAATTTTGATGCAATGCAAGAAATGTTGACAAGACTGCGCATGCGTCTCGGCAATTTTTAATCAGCTGTTACAAGTTGTGTGCAAGTCGAATAAATTAGAACCCGACCTATTTTTCGTGCAAGTTTTAAGACATTTTAGTAATTTTAGTTAGTAATAAACCAATTACCAACCATGATCTGTGTTACCAACTGTAAAACAAAGTTTGCAATGTGCTGGTAGTGCACCTTGGTTGCAGATCATTTTAAAAATATAATAAAAGCTGTGATGTTGGCTGTATTGGTTTTTCCGATTTTATGGTGGTGTGAGTGTTTTCACTGTTTTTAGATATCTTTGGTTTTGGGTTTTGGGCTGTTCTGTTTGGCGTCGTCGTTTGTTTGTGTTTGTAGCTTGGCTTGATGTTTCATTGTATTATTTTGTATTTCGTGTTTTTTCTTTGTATTTCGTATTTTTTATTGTTGTTAATCTGTTGAGTAATGTCTGAAACTACACTAGCTGTTAGGTAAGTTAATTCATGAAGTAGGTTTATAATATATCTTATAAATTATTTCCTTTTTTAGTAAACAATTCTGGAATCCAGATTTGACCACAGCACTAATTTTAATGTATGAAAATTTCCCGTGTTTATATAATGTGCGGTCAAAGGACTATCATAATAGAAATTTAAGAGTTGCGGCAATTAGAAATATTTGCCTAGGTTTAAAAGAAACCTATCCTAATACAGGAGTAACGGAAGCAATGGTCCAAAAAAAAATCCATGGAATAAGGACGCAATATAATTCCGAAATTAATAAAATTAAAAAATCTGAACTAGTGGTGCATCTGCAGACGATATTTACAAACCAAAGTTATGGTGTTTTGAGATGCTAGGTTTTTTACGGGATACATTTAATGTGGTTACAAAAGGGGAATCGACATTAAATCTGGATTTAAGCTCACAGGTAAAATATAAATATAGTTAAATTCAAGTAACCAAATACATGTGCAGGAGACTAATTTAGATTATTTACATTTCAGACAGAAGTACTAGCAGATTCTAAGGTAGAGGATGATCTAGCAGTGGGAGATACTGATACTCAGACTCCTGATGTTATATTTGATGGCAACGTAGAGGATTTATTAGAAGTGAATGTATCCACCTCCAGGACAAATCTGTATAATAGGTTTACTCCATGTAGTTCGAGGGAAAACTTACAGCCACCAAAAAAAAAAAAAAAAAAAAATTGAAGAAGATAAATTTGGGCAATTCATGTTATCAGCCACAAAAGCAATTGAAGAGGTAAATCAAGAGCCAGTAGCCAAAGTTGATGATTTACTTACTTTTACGAGGTAGATACAGTAAGTTTGTAATATTTTTGATATATCGCTGTTTCTCAAGAAGTGACATATTTAATTTTTTTTAGACAATTCTTTTTTATTTATTGTCTAGAATCTTGATGACATGCCTTATTTTTGTTAGTTACAGTATACCTACTTTTTAAGTCATTTAAGAATTTATACCTTTTTCAACCTTATTATTGTTGTTTCAGATACATACACACAGAAATGAAAACCATCGAAGACAAGCAGTTATTAGATGAACTTAAACAAAATATTTTATGTGATATTTTTAAATATAAAACAATTTACAATAATTATTTAGTAGAGTAGTTTTTTTTTTTATAAGGTTAGTCATAGGAAATTATTTTGTAGTTTGTTTTTAAAATAAGTTTTATTTTATAGTTCATTTGTAGAAAATTATTTTGTAGTCAGTACCTAAATATATTTTTGAAACAAGTTTTATTTTGTAGGCAATTCTTTTGTAGTCAGTAAATATATTTTTGAAACAAGTTTTATTTTTAATTTATGTGGTTCTATGCAATTAATTGGTCATTAAAAAAAAAACATTTTTGAAGAAAATTTTATATACATTATAAAGCTATTTAAACCTGAAAACTCTTATCATTAAAAAAATACAAAACGAACTAAATATAACAAAAGTACCTTATAATTTAAAATCAATTCAACATTATTTACAAATATCTTGCCAAGGTAATCGATATGCCTAACATTATTTACACATCTCTTCTTGCCAAGGTACACTTCCAACACCATTCACATATTCCTTATATTCTTCACGAATAGCCAGGGCAACATTTTTAGGTCTGTTACCACTTTGAGCACTTAATCCATATAGAAATCCAAAGTTCGTGTCTAAATCTCCAGGATTAATGCCACTATATGTGTGTGTTGGCAATTCGGCTTTTAGAAAGTTATGTAAAGCACAACAAGCTTGTGTTACAATTTTAACTTTCTTGGGTTTTAAAGCACTAATGTTCAATAAAACCCTGAACCGGTTTGCCAATATACCGAATGTGTTTTCTACTACTCGACGAACACGACTTAGTCGGTAATTGAAAATTCTTTCATCTCTTGTAAGGTTTTTCATTGGATATGGTTTTATAATATGGGTACTCAATGGAAATGCAGCATCTGCTGCTATTACAAATGGTACAGGTTGGGTTCTGGAAGGAAGTGGCTGATCTCTTGGAAAATTTAACAAATTTTTTTGGATTGCTTGATATAAATCGCTTTCTCTAAAAACTCCTCCATCCGAAACTCTTCCATTTACCCCAATATTTACATATGTAAAATTATAATTTGCATCAACTAATGCAAGTAAAACTATACTATGTTGCTTCTTATAGTTAAAAAATGCAGACCCTTCGTCTCCTTGACTTTTTATTAGGATGTACTTACCATCCATTGCACCAAGGATATTTGGTAAATTCCAGATTGTTTCGAAATCTTGTGCAATATTTAGCTATTCTGCAGCCGTAGATGGTACCTGAAAAAAATTAACAACAATTTTAACATTTATTGAATTAGATATAAATGTACTTCCTTACTTTTAAATATTTGCTTTTTAATTCATCATAAATTGCTTTGCAAACAACTGGAATAAAATTTGAAATTGAACTTTCAGATATTCTAAAATTGTACATTAAAGATCTGAAAGATTCTCCTGCGGCCAAATATCGTATTGTTACAATTAGCATATTTTTTGCAGGAATACACTCTCTAAAATTCGTGTCCGATTTTTGAATTTTAGGTTGAATCACATTTAATAATTTATTGAAGGTAGTTTCATCCATCCTCAAATAGTTTTTAAATGTTTTAAAATCTTGAGATTCAAGCATTTGGGTTTCTAAAGCTAAATTTCCCAATTGGCGATTAACCCAAGGTTTAACCCACCATCGCCTTGGCTTCTTTTTTAATTGTTCGTTTTGCCTTTTAGCCATTTGTGCCATAGCAACAGTTAACAATATAATTTTAATTTTTTTCTTCTTAGCCAAAGTACTTTCTTCATCCATGGCTCTTAAGACACTTTAAAAACAAACAAATGGTAAACAATGGACAAAAATAAAAATATAATAAGCAAATCAACACACGTGGACTGGAATTAACATGAGATAACCTCAAAGATCTTCTTTCTCCTTTTATTGAGCAAAATCTTCTTTTTTTGGGAACAAATCTATTCTCAACAACCGCCCACTACAAAAGTAATCAAATTAATTACCATATGTTGGTACCAATGGTTGGCATTATTTTTTTATGTTGGTGACTCTGGCGCTAGTGACACTGGTTGCACCAAAATTGCATAAATGTAAAACGTTGTGAAATAAAAAGAAAGACTTGCATGGTTATTGCATTGCATCAAAATTTCATAATGTAAAGCGGCTTTAAGAAAGCACATGATTCTGAATACCTTATGATGAAGGTAAACAAATAGTAATACATATAAACTAATTTCTTTTTTTGCTAATGTTAAATTGTAAATTTATCTTATGATGGGTTATATGGAGCTTGTCGCAGAAATGAATTGTTGAATATCAAGCTTGACCACATAGATAATAAAGGAGATATATTGATAGTTACAGTTCCAGAAACAAAAAATAATATAACAAGGATGTTTACAATCACAAACAAAACAGTTGATGGATTGAATCTACTTACAATATACAATATATTATTACCCTTAGACCTACCCACACTACTCATAATTGCTTATTCATTTGTTACAAGAATAATAAATGTACAGTATAACCGATCGGAAAAAACACATTCAGCAAAATTCCACAAATGTAGAAAACGCTTTAACAGCCCTTAGCTATCAGCTGCCCTTGCTTCGCTCGCTCATGCAGCTAATAGCCGTGGGCTTCTTAGTTTTTTTCAACCCTGGTGTGATATCAGCACATTTCAGAATTCAATATACCTGTGTGCTTTGAATTTCAGAAAACAAGCTACTTAAATATAATTACAATAAATGAATCCGTATGGAATAGTTCTTTCAAAATATTCTTTTATTATTTATGAATAAACAATTGGATATTAAAATTCGCGATCAACTTGTTGTAATGTTTTATGGTAAACAAAAAAATATGTTTTGATAGAAAAAAACTTACGTTTTGTAGAAATGCTAAATGTTCAGTGTCGTTCACATGTGGTCCAACGTAGAAAAACGGATACATTTATAAAATACTTTTAATAAAAATATTGAAAACACGATGTACCGGTTTAACAAAAATTTTAACTTTTTTTTTACCTACGTTGACCTTTCGCACACGGCACCTCGGATAAACGAAAGAAATTTCAAATTACCTGTAAGAAGAAATGGCAAATCCTCTAATAAGTCCGGTAGTTTATAATTATAATGTATTCTAAGGATTTTTTATTTAAATACATTTCACAAATTTCAGAGGATTGGCAAACGTCCACTTCACTTGACATTTTTAATGACGCAGCAGTGACAAGTGACTGATGAGATATCGTATGTCATCAGTCAAATGTAAAAAGGCGCGTTCGTTTATTCAAAGTTTTGAGTGAACATTCGATCAGGGGTGCGTTCAGAAATGTAAGGTAAATGCAACCGGACGTCGTCTAAATTCTAAAAAGTATGGCACGCCGTTTTGATATTTATTCAACATGCTAACAATATATCATATTAATTATATTTTTATGATTTACATGCACCACGTAATTTATATAAATTCAATATTTTTGACAAACATGGAAGGTATATATCAAAAAAATTAATTTTTTTGACATATTATTATGTAGTGCATGTAAATAATAAAAATTCATACGGATGATGTTGAATTAAATTAAACTGATTCCGGTGACTTATGAAAAAATGATACACTATTTAAATTATCTGATAATAAAAATACTACGAAAGCGTAGAGCGGCCACTATAACTTTTTTTTTGTAATTGACAGATTAATCTGTAAATTGACAGAATAATCTGTAAATTGACAGAATAATCTGTAAATTGACAGATTAATCTGTAAATTGACAGAATAATCTGTAAATTGACAGATTAATCTGTAAATTGACAGTTTAATCTGTAAATAGACAGAATAATCTGTAAATTGGCCTAATAGCATAGGGTAAATTGTCGAAAAAAGAACAAGAAGAACTAGAAGAAGACTTGGTATAATTAGCGTGGATATAGCTAATAGTTTTATGAAATAAACCTGAATACAAAAATATACAAAGTAAGTAATTATATAATTTGAATTTTGTATTTATTGGATAATGTAAATTGAAGAATTGTTTTACATTTATTAAAAACTTGGATGTTTTTTAGATGCAGAACGCATTTTACGATTTTCTAAGTAACAGGAAAATAAGTGAAGAAGTAATCAACTTTTTTAAAGATCAGAATGTAAGTAAAAAGTAAAAATGCTCTTTTGCACTTTTTTAACTCTAGGTACATTACTCGCGTGGGGTACTGAGTACTGTAACCCTTGTAGATTGGAAGCTTGTGACATATTTTGTTCTCCGATTTCATGCAGCATGCCTTTTTGAGGGTTGATAATGTAGTCCAAGAGAACAAGGGTAAGATGGTTTTCGACTGATGCACGCATGCACATCCTAGGGAACATCTTTCCGCGATATTATAATGCATGCCCTTTTAATAAACGATAGTTAAAGCAGATTTAAGGTGCTAAAATAATTGGCATGCGATTTGCAGCGGCACAAAGGGCCCAAAGTGTCATGTCAATTTGCAACTTCACGTGATCATTTCTACCTTTTGTGCTGCTGCAAATCGCATTTTTCCCTAGGATGTGCATGCATCAGTTAAAAACCATCTTACCTTTGTTGTCTTGGACTACATTATCAACCCTCAAAAAGGTATGCTGTATGAAATTGGAGACCAAAACATGTCACCAGATCCCAATCTATTAAGTACCATATGGCTAAAGGGTGCAAGAAAGGTTCTTACCATAGCAGAGACAAATTTGATAATTTTTTAACCACATAACAATCACCTAATCATAGAAATGAATTGGGACCATGGACACTTACTTGTTCACTAGGTTGACTACTATCACCTGTTGAGGAAAGCCACTTACAAGCCAATGAAAAGTACCTGTTTGCGATTTTTTTTTAATTCATGCTTTATATGAGTAACATCTATTATTAAGTGTTTTAAATCTGGAAATACATTTTAGATTGACACCAAAACACTGCTACTTATGGAAGATGAAGAGATAAAAAAATATATCCCTCGGTTCGGAGACAGACTTGCTGTTATTGATTATTGAAAAAGAAACAGTTCAGAAAAAAAATTAAGCCTTATTGAAAAACTGAGAGAGAAGATGGCAATAAAAAATAAAGAAAACGATTCCTCAGAAGCGGGATCTTCTGGGATGACAAAAAAACTTAAAAAATCAAGAAAAATTGAGGTGGGATGGCTACATGTGTCCAGAGAAAAACAGATACATACAGGTTCGGTTCAAACAGGGAGGTGGAACCAGACATTTATCTTTATCTCAGGAGGACAAACCTCTTATAGTACTAGAAAAAGCCAAAAATCTCTTTTTTCCTGATGGAAATTCGGCCAAAGGGAATTTACAAGACGTTCATTGTACCCTACTTGATTTTAAACAATTGCCTGTTGATAATGGACTTTCAATTGGAGATATTTTTAATATCACAGGAGTTACAAAATTAAGATTCTATTTGGCAACAAAGAATGCATGTTCTGACTCTGACGGTTCAGTACACTTAGAAAGCAATGATTCTGATGTTTCATCTTTGCAGCATGTTGCCTTTGAAGAAAAGGAGGAAAATCATGAAACATCTGATTTAATGGTTAGACATTTTTTCATCCTCATTACCTATACCTATTAGCTTTTATGTCATATGGTCTGTATTTAATAAGTAAAACATTTTTTATTTTTAGGTTAACACATCACCAGAAGTAGAAATTAGTCGCTTGGATTTTGTAGAAGACCTGGTTGGATTACCTTATGTTGAACTTTGGGATGACTCTCAGAGTAAAATGGAAACTTTAATCCTTCATCGAGGGCAAATTTTTCAAGATATGTTAAAAGCATTTGAGGAAGAATTTTTTGATCATGGAAATCTAAAGATAGAGATGATTTTACCCAATGGGCAAAGTGAATTGGCAGAAGACATAGGAGGAGTCTACAGGGATTCTCTATCTGAATGTTGGTTCTCATTTTATGAAAAATGTACTGTGGGAACCACTTTCAAAGTACCATATCTACGGCATGACTTTGGAGAAAAACAATGGAAATCTATTGCTAAAATATTTATTCGAGGGTTTGAATTAGAAAATTATATTCCAATTAAATTATCCCCCGTGTTTATCAGGTCTTGTTTCGGTAAAAGTGTTGATGACAAGGATTTAATAGAAAATTATTTACAGTTTGTATGTGAATCAGATAGGGAATTATTAAAAGCCGCTTTAAATGATTTTGACAGTGTAGATCAGGAAGATGTAGTAGATTTTTTTTCTAATTTAGATGCTAAATGGCTTCCCACTAAAAATAATTTCAAACAACTTTTGATTGACATTGCCCACATATATATAATTCAGAAACCAGCATTTGTTACAAAATGTTTTGCATCTGAAATAGAAAAAAAAGAAACTTTATCTTTTGATACCATAATGAAACAATATTCTGAAATTACACCAACTGTAAAACATTGCCTATCAAAAATTCTTGTTAAAGAACAAACATTAAACAAGGAACAAAAAAGAATATTTGAATATTTAAAAACATTTATTAAAAAATCTGATGAGAAAACCAGAACAGCATTTTTTAGGTTTTGTACTGGATCAGATTTGCCCATAATGTGTATCAATGTAACTTTTTCACTTGAAGATGGGACGAAACGTATGCCAATTGCTCATACTTGTTCAGGTTTATTATCTTTACCAATAACATTTGAAAATTATGTTATTTTCAGAAGTGAGTTAAACTCTGTTTTAAGTTCCAATGTGTGGGTAATGGACATTATATAGAAAGTGCACTTTTTATTTGTTGTTACAATGAGGTTCAAATTTTACTGTAAGGGAATTTTTTTTGTATTACCTTATGCATTTCTCAGATTTTATTTTTGCTCAGAATTTGTGTATGATCTAAAATATGGAAAGTGATTATTAAATATGTTTATAATTGTAAAATATGTATACGGAGTATATTTTACATTTAAGACTAAATTAATAAGAAAGTATATGAATTTCTAATCAAATAATCATAACTTGAAATTTATACTGAAGTATGATGATAGGACCATTGTTATGGTCTGGAATTCACATATATTAATCACTTTATTTTATAAAGGTTGATATAATTAGGTCTCGTTTTGTGTGATATATGTATATATATTAGATTTAGATATATTAACTTCATTCCTATTGCTCCATTTCGTTTTTCCATTTTTACAGCGAACTATGTCCTTGCTATCAAAACAATAGTGTGTTGTTCACACGCTGTGTGCTTAATATAAGTTTGATATTTCAAAATTTGGAATTGTCAGATTTGATTGACAATATTTTTGAAGCGATCGTAATTTAGTAAAATTAGAGGAACGTGTTTTCGAAGACGATTTTCAAAGTGAATAGCTGTGTGTTGGTGCGAGTTTGATTTGGATTTGTTAGTTATACCGTTGTAAACGGGATTTGATTTGCACAACTATTTTGGAATTTCGACTGATAGCTAGTCTTATATTTGGCAGTCGTTATTTTTGCCGCAAGGGATTTAATTATACTGCTATTCCTGGTTCAATTACCACCGAACAAATTTCTTCAAGAGACCACGCATCCTCCATTTTGTAAACCCTCTTCGAACTGAGGTAAGTTAATTGATAATCTCTGGTAACTATGTTTGATTGTTATATCGGCTTTTCTTATTTCTTCTAGGGTTTTTATTTTCCCTTTTGCTTCTAATTTTGGATTTTATGGTTTTCGTTTCATATTCGGCGCAGTTTCAATTTTGGTGTTCCCGATTTACCGGCTGTGATCGTGGAATATTTATCAATTGGGTGATAGATTGTAGCTACACCCTGAACATTGGACTGAAGTGGCTGGAACCCGGACCCGTAGCTAAGTACCGAATAAGGATATCATTTTCAATTTGTTTTATTATCACTATTAATTTTACTTTTAATTAGTAGCACTATCAACATTAACGTTATTAATATTCTCGCTATTAGTTTTTTTTTTTATAATAAATATTAGTGCTATCAATATCTTCGGTATTAATATTATCACTAATAATTTTATTATTAATTTTCCTTGTGCCCTTGATATTAGCACTACTAATAATACCATTATTAATAATATCACGGTTGGTATATTATCGATATTATTTTGTTACTATTGCCATTTTGAGTTATTGTATATTGTTGTGGTATAAATTTTTCATTTTTAAATTAAAGTATATTTTATACATTATCGACTATATTGGAATTATGCAGGACACCCTGTACAGCAATTTGATTTTGAATCGGGTTTAAAAAAGATGAGATATTGATTTGGTTGAAAGAAAATGGGGTTGTGAATTTTTGAAATTTGAAAAATTAAGAACGTCAGAAATTTAAAAGCGAGAATTGTACCTCTAAAAGATATGTAAGGAGAATTTAAATAAACAAACTTGTCAAGTAACTTTATAAAAAGGTAATAGGGAGTAAAAAAAATATATAAGAAGAAGGAAGATTTGCAATTGATGGTGAGCAATAGATCTGAAGGAGCGACCTGAGTCCAAGTAAAAGGTTGGATATCAGAAGTACCAGGACCGTGAGTACGGTATTTCATAAACATTTTATTTTGTGCAATTTAAAAGGAATAATAGATATTCCTAATAAGTTTTTTTGTGAAAAAAATAGACAATTATAAAAATAGAGATTGTTAGAATTTTAGTACTTTTGATAATTGGACCAAGTGAAAGGTTAATCAAATTTTAATTTTTGAATTTTTGTAATTTTGACCAAAGTTGTATTTTGAGTAGGTGTAGTAGGGTAGGATTAGTTAATTTTTTTGAAAATATTAGAATATCTAAAATTTGTTAAATTTGTTCCATAATGGTTTCTTTAAATTAAACAAGTTGATATTTAGAAAAGTTTGTTTATTTAAAGATATAATTTTACAAGAGACAGGTACATTATATTTCTTCATCTGGGATCATTTATTGTGCATAATTCCAAATAAAATCTATAAAATAAATTTAAAATAAATTTAAAATAAAATTAAAATTAAAATAAAATTAAAATTAAAATAAAATTAAAATAAAATTAAAAATAAAATTTAAATAAAATTAAAATAAAATTAAAATAAAATTAAAATAAAATTAAAATAAAATTAAAATAAAATTAAAATAAAATTAAAATAAAATTAAAATAAAATTAAAATAAAATTAAAATTATAACCGTGCGCCCCTGAAGTATCGGCAACCAGGATTACGTTCATGATTACACCGGTAAGTTCAAGTCCACACTCGCAGATGGCAGCACCCAAAATTCTCTTCTGTTCAACTGACGCATACGTAACCCGAGGAGAGTAGTAAAGGACGAATCTAGCATATTTTGAAGAGGAAGAGGAATAGGAAGAAGAAGAACAAGAATAAGAAGTTGTAATATTTTATTAATTAATCTTGTAATATTTGTGTTGTATATATTTTGTTTAATAAAATAAAAGTTAGTTCTTATATCTGGCGCCCAACGTGGGGCCTAAAAATTTTAGATGAACAATAGCTCATTTATTGGCGTTGTTGTCAAAATTTTAGATGAACAATAGCTGATTTTTTGGCGTTGTTGTGTCGGAATTTTCGATAACACTAGCTGATTTGTGGACGTTGTTTTGTCGGAATTTTGGTAGTTCGTACAGGAAATTTGCTGTATATCGGCTTTTTCTTGGACATCTACACCAAGAGATTGGACATCTACTTTAGAAGACGGCGGTACCTATCTATTTATTTGTTGCTGTCTCTTCGAGATTCCAATATTCCGAAATCAAGAAAAGGTACTTCTGCAGGTCTACGTCGAAGTGAACGACTAGCGAATAATACCATCATGCAAATGACAGATGATCAATTCCGACAATTGTTGTCAACTCTTACCAACACACGAAACGCAGCACCTCCGATCGCCACGGGAAGTTTTAGTAAATGTACTGCGCGATTCGATGGCGAGAGATGTCCAGCAACAGTAGATAATTTCATAACCACCATTACGATTTATAAGGAGATAGAGCGAATCAGTGACCCTGATGCAATAAAGGGCTTACCATTACTTCTGACCGACACAGCTGGAACCTGGTGGCAAGGTGTTAAAAATGAGGCCACTACATGGAACGAGGCAATGTCACTAATAAGAGTAGCCTTTTCGCCACCAATACCTGCTTATCAAGTCTACATGGATATTTTTAAAGAACGTCAAGATGGAAATACCTCTATAGATGACTTTATTTGTAAAAAAAGAGTTTTGTTGGCCCAGTTACCCAATAACCGGCACGATGAGACCACTCAGCTCGACATGATTTTCGGCTTAATAAATATCGAAATAAGAGAAAAGGTATCCCGAGAATCAATACAGACTTTCACAGACCTATTACAAAAAGGTCGTGAAATCGAACTAATTCAAAGAGAAACAAAAATTAAACCTACTTGCAGTAAAATCGCAAACTCTAACTCGGAAGAACCTGGGTTAAAAGGCAAGAAAAACAGATGTGGATTTTGTCGCCTTCGAGGTCATCGAATCGAGGAGTGTAGAAAGCGATTATACAAAGAACATGAGAAACCCCCCGCTTCTTGGAAAACAACGGATCCTGTCAATAATACAGAAAACAAACTACTAAGCACAATAAAATGTTATGGTTGTGGTAAAGCTGGATATTTTAGGAGTAATTGCCCGACGTGTAGCATCAAGAAGGAGGAAGTCACTCAGGCTATTAATTTTTATTCTTTTAATACACTTACTATGCATGGTCCCCAAGTACCTACTATTCCCGTAATAGTGAGAGGAATAGCTGGCATAGCCCACATTGACACAGCGGCTAAGACTAGCGTCGCAGGTCGATCATTGTATGAATGCCTGAAGCAAGTACCCTCCGTAACTTTCAGAAGTAGACAAGCTACGGTAACTTTGGCAGATGGTTCTAGTCAAACCCAGAACATACTAACCACAACAGTTGATATTAAAATACAGACACGTATATTCGATATTGAATTCATAATTCTACCGACAGTCAAAGACAATCGCACACTATTGGGCATTGACTTTTTGGAAAAATCGGGTATGGCTTTAATACCACCCCAGAGATGTTGGTTTTATATGGACAAGCCCAACGAGATATTCGAATTCATATCAGCAGACAAGGGAAAAATATCCGACTTAAGGTATACACCTACTGCTCAAAATACTAACCCAATCTGTTTTAATGAGGTTAGTCAGTACAGTTCTCCATTTCTCGATCTTTTCGCTTCACCACTAGCAGACGAAGAACGACCGTACAAGTTGCAAAAAATTGATTTACCGCCGCCTGTTCGTCGACCCCTGGCTGAAATATATGACAACCATGGTCAATATTCGCCTAATACCATTGAAGACATATTTAGAGATTCGCTACCGGCTACGTACAGTCCACCCAGGAATTACACCGGATACGAACTGTTTTCAATAGAGATAGAACTCTCACCTGAAGAAGCTCCTGAAGTAATCGGACAACACCGATTTAGACTAAATAAATTGCTTTTGCAATACCAGGACCGCTTTAAGCAGGATGGTCCACCTACTGAATTTATGGAACATACCATTGACACGGGAACACACCCACCAATAGCTGTTGCCCCCTATAGGCTGAATGGGAGTCGACAAGCTATTTTACGTGAAAAACTAGATGATATGTTGGAAAAAGGTATCATCGAGGAAAGCAGTACACCTTGGACTTCTCCAGTAGTCCTTGTCCCAAAAAAAGA